CGCCCCCGAGCCCCGAGGTCAGGCCGCGGGCTCCGGGGCTCCCCGGCCGTGCTCCCCCGTCCTTGCCCCCGCGTTCCCGGCCGGAGGATCGGCGACCTCGCCCGCGCCGCCCGGCTGCTCCCCGGAGTGTGGCACCGAGCCCTCTGGCGGGGTGATTTGTCCTCCTTGTTCTTGCTCCCGGAGAGGCGTCTAGCGGACGGGTAACCTGTGTGTGCTCCTTAAAAGTTTGAACCGAAGTGGAAATGCGTGTCCTCGGTTTCTGGACCGCTGACGGTTTCCACTCTGGCCGCCGTCTGAGATCCCGTCCAGAGTAAAAAAAAAAACAGCAAGAGAGGAAGGGGGGAAAAGTACCTACAAAATCCCTCTGCCGTCGGTCGCTCCCGCCCGAGGAGGGCAGATGAACTTTGGAGTTAAGATGCAGGGAGGCGAGCCGGCATCGGTCCTGAAAGTCTCGGAGAGTGAGGGGAAGCTGGAGGGCCTGGCCACAGCGGTGACCCCGAGCAAGAACAGCGGCAGCAGCTGTGGGGGCGCAATCAGCAGCAGCAGCAGCAGCGGCAGCAGCCGCGGTGGCAGTGCGAAAGGCTGGCAGTACAGGTATGGCCCTCCGAAGGGATGTTCTGGCGCGGACTCGGGAGGGTTTGGGGGGGGGGGTGTCTGCATATTGCAGTTGGAAGGCCGCTTCCGAAGCAGCTGATAACCTTTCTTGGAGCCAGACCTGCTTCCATGAACAGGACTCACTTCATTCAGAAATACATTCAACAGGTATTTGTTGAGGCCTTTTGAGGAATTCGGAAATGTCCCCCAGAAGTCCCTCTATTGCCCGAGGCTTTGTTCGTCCTCTGAATGAGGTCCGTACTCACTTCTGGTTTTGCCTCTGTTGTAATTTGTTTACTAGTAAGCCTGAACGGCTGTTAGGGCAGAAACTGTTGAACTCAGCACTTTTAGCGGCTAGCAAATGCTGGGTGCTCAAAGTTGTGGAGTGATCGGGGTAAGCAGAGTATCTTAGCCTTTGGGTGCTTGTGACTTAGGAAGGGGGAGGGGTGTAAATACTTAGGATTCAAGAGACAACATAGACAATTTTCATTAATATGAATGAACAATTTAAGGAACAAGAGTTCCCGGAGAAGCAACAAAAGCTTCATTTTTGTGTTTTGTATACGTGAAGTGTAGGGAGAGATTACTGTCCATAATTGTAAGAATGAAGACAATCCGGGCGTCCTGTGATGTTGGAACTACGGTGATGAATACTTAAATTTTGGTTAACTGTGTGGTTAACTCTAGGGTTTGTTTTTGTTTTTTGATTGTTTTAAACTCTTTGGCTGTACTTGTGAAACTTGGAAGGGGTTAGAAGCAACATTTTGTTAAAGATATGTATTTGTCATGAATACGATTATGTTTAAGTGTGTATGTATTACAGTATGCAAATATGGGCTGAGTGTGGTGGCACTCTTTTTTAATCCCACCACACAGGAGGCTGAGGCAGGAGAATATCTGTGAGTTCCAGGCCAGCCTGATCTACATGATGAGTTCTAGGACAGCCAGGACTACATAGAGAGCCCTGTATTAGAACCGCCCCCCACCAAAACCAAATCAAAACAAAGCACCTAATATGCAAATATATGTGTATGTGAAATATGCTTGGCATGAATTTACAGAAATGAATAGAGCAGGTAACTTTTTAATTGGCAAATGGGGATTGAACTAAAGTCAGTATGATATTCTCTCCCTCTTTGTGATTTTCTTCATTTTATTTTTTTATGTGTATGAGTGTTTGCCTACATGTGTGTATGTACGTTAGCATGTGTATGCTTTGGTTGCTGAGTCCAGAAGAGGGCATTAAATCCTCTGCAACTGGAGTTATAGACAGTTGTGAGCTGCCACATGGGTGCTGGGCACCAAAACCCAAGTCCTCCAGAAGAGCAGCCAGTGTTCTTAACTCCTGAGCCATCTCTCCAGCCCTTTCCCTTTGTGACTTAAGATGAACCATTAAGCACGCCTTTAATTCCAGCACTTGGGAGGCAGAGGCAGGCGGATCTCTGTGAGTTCGAGGCCAGCCTGGGCTACAGAGTGAGTTCCAGGAAAGGTACAAAGCTACACAGAGAAACCCTGTCTCAAAAATAAATAAATAAATAAATAAATAAATAAATAAATAAATAAATAAATAAATAACATTAGAAAATTCTTTTTGTGGGGATATTTTGATTTCATTAAAGGGAGTAAAGTACAAGATGCCCAGCGGCCAGTCTTCTGATGGTCTCAATTCTGAAAACCACTCTGAATTAAAGTGGGAAATTCACTAGACTAGAGTAAGTACTCGGTGCTCTCATGTGTGCTCTCCTCTTCTTGCCTTCTTCTCCCAGGCTCCCAGTCTAAAGACATTTAAAACAAAACAACAACAGTTATAAAAAGTGGCCTAACCCTTTGCTCTGGAGAGCGATTTACACTTACTAAGCAACCTGCGTCATGTGCTCTGTCCTTACCAGGGAACAGTGGGTATGTTTCCATCTTCATCCCACCCGAGTTCCCTGTAAGCATACATGCTTTTAGAATACTGTCTTGACCCCTTTCTTGCCAAAGCCAGCTCTTTATCCCTGGCCACAGCTGCACCCTCACCCCATCTTCTTGACTTCCTGACAGTACTTTCTCGCGTTTGCCCTTCGTGCCTCGTTCCTGTCCAGTTGCATCGGTTGGCTTTTCTTTGCCCTTTTCCAGGCTGGTCTTATGCTCTTGGGCTGTGGACTCTTATCTCTTTCTCCTTTCTGACCTCAGCTAATGGAGTCTGAGTCAGGAAATCTTTCAGAACTCTAGAGTCACGTATTCAGCTGCCTATCTGAGCATTACAAATCTAATCAGTCGCTTTGATCTCTACAATAATTTGATACTATCTCCATTTTGAAAATGTACATTGTTGGGTACACTGTGTGTGTGTGTGTGTGTGTGTGTGTGTGTGTGTGTGTGTGTGTGTGTGTGTTTTAAGATAGGCTCTCATGTAGCCTAGGCTTGCCCTGAGTTTACTATGTAGCTGAGGATGACACTGAACTTCTGATCTTCCTGTGTTGGGATTATAGGCACGCTTAAGATGTGAATTAGCATTTTAAAATGTTAATTACTATCATATTTAAAACATTTTGTTAACTTTAAAAGAAGTAGAAGGATTACATTTGTGAATTATTCGCCTTAACATGCTTTCCCTCCCCAGAGAAACTATTTTTACTGATTTATTTTTTCTTTTGTTTTTTGAGATGGGGTTTCTGTGTGTAGTCCTGACTGTCTTAGGATTCACTCTGTACACGAGACTAGCCTCAAACTCTCAGCAATCTGCCTCTTGTCTCCCAAGTGCTGTGGTTTTCCTTCCTTCCTGCCTTCCTTCCTTCTTTTCTTCCTTCCTTCCTTTTTTCTCTTTTTTTACTTATGTGTGTGTTCATGTCTTTGTACTTTGTAAGCATGTTCTCATGTGTGTGCAGGTATGCATGCCTGTGAGCACATGGAGCCCAGAATAGGGTATTGGATCCCTCAGAGCTGGAGTTTCGAATATTTGTGGAACATCTGGTTTGTTAAGTGGATGTTGGGGTTTGAACTGCAGTCCTCATGATTACGCAACAATCAGTTTTAGCCTCTTACCCATTACCAGTCCCTGCCCCTTACCACCTCCACCACCCGGTCTTATTTGAGACGGGGTCTTACTGTGTAACCCTGCCTGACCTGAACTTGTCAGGTTGACCAAGCTGGTCTCCAACTCACAGAGATCCCTGCTTCTGCCTCTCCAGTGCTGGGACTAAAGGAGTCAGCCATGCCTGGCCCTGCAGCCCTTTTTCTGGTTTCTTACTATAGTGCCAGATAAAGCTGTATTATTTCTTCATGTAGTAAGTGCTTATTTATATTCAATGTGTTTTAGGATTTTATTTATTTATTTTTAGCGGTATAGAGAGTCAGACCTAGAACCTTGTAAGCGTATAGGTTAACAGCCTTTTAGTTCTATATAGTTAAAATTTTTTAAATGTCTTATATTTATGTACTTGTCTGTGTGTGTAGGTGTGCATGTGTGGCAGTGTGCATTCGGAGGCTAGAGCATGGCCCTCGGGTCAGTTCCTTCCTTCCACTATGGGTTCCAAGGATTGAAGTCAGTTCTTTAGTTTTGACAGCAATTGCTGTTCTCCACTGAGACATCTCACTGGCCCCTGACTGTACTTGGTATGACAGAGAGACAACTCTTGTGTGTGTGGTGGATGCATGTGGACACCAGGGGTCGTCAGCCTCTTTCTTGTTTCCCACCTTATTTTTATTCTAAGAATTTGAAAATGTATCATTCTCTGTGTGTATGGTGTGTGTGAGCTTTTGTGTGCCGCGGTGTCCATGTGAAGGTCAGAAGTGGCCTGTGGAAGTCGATGCTTTCCCTCTGCTGTGGGTTGCAGAGATGGAACCAGGGTTGCCAGGCTTCCATGGCAAGCACTTGTACCTGCCGAGCTTTCTCACCAGCCTTCTCCCCCTGACTTTTTGAGGCAGGGTCTCTGAATCCAGAGATCACATTTCTCTGCCTGCCCAATGCTGGAGTTACAGCTGCACACTGCTGTGCCCAGCTTCTGCGTGGGTGCTGGGATCTAAGAACATTTTATTTTGAGACAACTTTTCACTAAATTGATCATCAGTCTGGCCTCGAACTCGGTTCAGGTTGTTCTTGAACTTCTGTCTCAGCATCCCAAATTGGTGGGATTACAAGGCGTGTGCCACCATGTTGTAGCTATAATTCTTTCTGTGTAGCAACCCTGACTGTCCTGGAACTCATTCTGTAGACCAGGCCACCCTCAAGATCGGCCTGCTCAGCCTGCCTCTGCCTCCTGAGTGCTGGGTTTAAAGGTGTGCGCCCCCACCACCCAGCAATTCTTACTCATATATTTTTTTAATACGTAATTTTTTTAAAGTGTCTTTTTTTTTTTAGAATTTTTTTTAAAGATTTATTTAATATGTATACAGCATGTATGACTGCAGGCCAGAAGAGGGCACCAGATCTCATTACAGATGGTTGTAAGCCACCATGTGGTTGCTGGGAATTGAACTCAGGACCTCTGGAAGAGTAGTCAGTGCTCTTAACCTCTGAGCCATCTCTCCAGCCCAATATGTAATTTTTTTAATGACTTGTTTTGAGATGGAGGTAAGTTGGGCTTGGTGGTGCATACCTCTAATCTCAGCACTCAGGAGCCAGAAACAGGTGGATCTCTGAGTTTAAAGCCAGCCTGGTCTACATGGTAAATTCCAGGACAGGTAGGACCCCATAGTGAGACCCTGTCTTAAAACAAAACAAGGTGGAGGTGGGGGTGGCACACACCGCAAATAATGACCCAGAGAATTATTAATTATGAAAGCTTGGCCTTAGCCTAGGCTTTTCTCACTTGCTCCTATAACTTAAATTAACCTACTTTTATCAATCTATGTTCTGCCACGTGGCTCAGTTACCTCTTAGTATGGCACCTCTAACTTCCTGCAAGTCTGCTGGTGAAATTGCGCTCCTGGATACTTTCCCCCAGTTTCTCCCTGCCCGCACCGCCCCCAAGTCCCGCCTATACCTCCTGCCTAGTTATTGGCCGTTGAGCTTTTTA